AGGAAACTACTTGCAAGGTTGCTGCCCACGACCGATTTCGCCCGTCTTGGGGCTCATCAGGTAGGCGCAACCCCCGAGTTTCCGTCATTCTTATGTTCTACTTGATTCAGTTGCGTTCCAGGTGACTCACCTGACAAAATGAAATTGTTTTGCAGAGGATTGTATAAGTTGAAGCTCAGTGTAAAGCGGATCAGAGAGTAACTGAGTCATTCGGCAAGTGACGATCCTTGTGACCTGCGTTAGACAAAGGTATCTTGCAGTTTCATTGCATCTACCTTAAGCTGTTCCAGTAGTCATCAACAATTCGGTTCAGAGGGCCGTTTGTTTCATACAGCCATCTTTGTCCAGTCTTCTATCGGAAGAAGACGATCCAGGGACACCCAGTCCATGGCTTGGCAGCGAAACTTGAAAGCCGTTGTTAGTCAAATCAGTCGCGTTGGCAATTGCCGGACAACGGGAGGAGTCAAACAGATGTTTATTCGCCATGGCGAATATGTCGCGCAGCCAACGATGCTTTTACACCAAAGCCATCAACTTCATTTCGTGGCTTTCACTTTCTATGACACTGGATAGCCTAATCCCCCCATCAATGAACCGATTGGGCGGTCGCCTCCAACGGGTGGTTCTCATTCCCATATTGTCCTTATCCCCAGTGACAGCTGTGGAAGCTGGAACCAGTGCACTCCGGTTAATGGACTGAAAACCGAACTGAAGTGAATTTCACGCCGTGTTCTATTGATATGTGCCATAGTGGTTAACGGATAGTTAACCATTATCTAACACGTAACACCACCACACCCATATGTCGGTTTCTGTGCGCCGGACTACGGCTGCGTGATGCACACGTATTTTTGTCATCCACCAATGCCGGGAACGGAATCACCGTCAGCAAGTTTAGTCGACGTGCGGAAGACAAGATGTGTGACGATTTTCTGTGAGCTAAACGGACTGGTGACAGAGATGGTTGTTGACACAATGCTGGGTGTTTGTAGCAGAGTCTTCAGGCCAGTTTTTGACATTAAAGTGGGAATGCTGGTGACAGACGTTGAGATCCCAAACTATTCAGTATGTTAGGGCTGGGTGATTTTTCCCGCAGCTGAAGTAAGCCTACGAACGGAAGCCCCAGTTCCTAGTTGACTGTGCCTACCTGATGACCAAGAAGTGAAGGTCTAGGATTTTTCAGCAACTAAGAGAAAGTATCTGGATTTACACCATATTTTCATTTCATAGCTACAGCGACCCGGTGTGCGTTCACCGATTAGCGGATTGGAAACTTTAGGCTAAGTTTGATTTCACTGGAATCTGAGCTGCAACCAGTGATCGTAAACAGGAAATTTCTTATCCTTCTATCTGCTGACTCTTTGTGGGTGATCTTCGCTCCAGGGGCGGTTTTCGATAAGCTGAGTCATGTATTTGCGCTATGGGCGGCTGCTGCAGCGAAGTCCATTCTGTGGATGGGAGAAGCGACGTAACCCACAAGGTCAATGCGCGCACCGCTGCACGTGTGCACCGAATCATAGCCAATCACATTATTCTGCCCGAGTCATCCACTGTGCTACAAGTGATTGGTGCGACCCATACATCCCAGAGAAAAAGATCAATAATTTCGAGTGTAGCAGTCCATGGGACGAAAATGGTCCTTTTGATTTTACTGAACCAAAACTGGAAGAAATGTTCACTCCACTGGAGAGTAGAAAGTCAGGAAACAATAAACTTTAAGGTCGTAAACTATGAAAAACTGAAAACACTAGAATGAGGGCCTTGCCAGTCAAAAAATGTTATGAAACGGAGCATTTGAACTACGCCAATTCGATTCTGTTCTTGCCGGTCAGTCAACAAATCAGATCCATGATGATTTTTACAAAATAAGGAAACTTTACAATTGTGGAATACGATACAGGTGTCTTTATCAGCTCACTCTTAGATGCCTCGCAACTCCGCTTGATACTGCAATGATTCCTGTTTTGACAGGGTATCTAAGTGACCCGCCAAAATCCCAAGTGTGAGAAGCCCGCTTTAAGGTTGGTTAGATTTTTCTAAACCCGGAGCAAACTCGCCCATCAGTAGAGAGTCGCACAACTAATATCCGACCAATTTACAAGCAATAAAAAACAGNTCGAGTGTAGCGGTCCATGGGACGAAAATGGTCCCTTTGACTTTACTGAACCAAAACTGGAAGAAATGGAGAGTGGAAAGTCAGGAAACAATAAACTTTAAGGTCGTAAAATATGAAAAACAGAAAACACTAGAATGAGGGCCTTGCCAGTCAAAAAATGTTATGAAACGGAGCATTTGAACTACGCCAATTCGATTCTTCCTTGCCGGTAAGTCAACAAATCAAATCCATGATGATTTTTACAAAAAAAGGAAACTTTACAATTGTGGAATACGATACAGGTGTCTTCATCAGCTCACTCCGAGATGCCTCGCAAACTCCGCTTGATACTGCAATGATTCCTGTTTTGACAGGGTATCTAAGTGACCCGCCAAAATCCCAAGTGTGAGAAGCCCGCTTTAAGGTTGGTTAGATTTTTCTAAACCCGGAGCAAACTCGCCCATCAGTAGAGAGTCGCACAACTAAGTATCCGATCATTTACAAGCAATAAAAAACAGCCCGACCGACCTGATCCACTTCACCTGCACTGTCGGCTTTTTTTCGACTCCACAAAGAAGAAGATCGGTTGCTACCCGACTAACTCGTTCGGTTTTGCAGCAGACGTCGTCCTGAACATTGCAGGATCTCATTGATTCACTTGCTGTTAATAAGGTAGAATTACTTGCACTGAAAACAAGCATATGGAAGAACTTCCTCAATTGATATTCCACCCGCTCCAATCCGGTGGGCGCTCGACTACTTGGCCAACGTAGTACATGTGTGTGTGGCAACCATTCATTGGAGCAAAGTTTGAAAACGCAGTTGTGTTACGTGGAATCGAATTTTAATGTGGCTACACCGCCTGGAAAGATCGCTCACATAGACTGTTCGAGACCAACTTTTATCAACCAACTTGTCTGATAGACCTAAAGTCCTGGTGGAAATGTATCAATTTTCACTAAACTGCACCCTTCGCCGCAGAGCACGAATCAGTTATTGAACGTTGGAATCCACGTGAAGTTGGGTTGAACGTTTGTGAGGACAGCTGAACCGTTATTTGACTGTTCAGTTTGCGCAGCTTCTCTGGTGACAGTTCACGAGCACTTTTCAGAGTACGGCACGTGTCTGGGAGCCATGTACTTTATCAATACATTGCCTAACTAGACTGTTCCATATGGCAGCCAAATCAATATTTTCATATTTGCTGCACCTCGGTCTGTTAGATTTTCTGGCTTCTACATAACAACTGTAGATTACACTAGTGATTCATGGTGTCCATTCCTCACCCTTGCATTAAACGACTTTGGAGCCGAACAGTTCAACAGCCTGCAAGTGTAGTTGTATACCCTTCCTTGCCGACGGAGATAAACTCGGCCTCCTCAGTCAGTTCACTACTCTGGTCAATTGGTGCAATGGCCTGAGAGATTGCAAGTTAGTGAGTTTGGCGGTTCTCTTCCACTGTATTACTCTGCTCCCTTGTGTCGATTTGACATTTGACAGGGACATCACTGTGAGAAAGTGCATAGTAATCTGAACTGGATCGATCTGATCCATTCTTGAGACATACTGATGAACTGACAGTGGTTTATGCGTATGTCCCAAGGAGATTAGTCACGAAAGATTCTCGCTTCTTTTCAGAATACGAATACTGGAGGGGATGGCTGCGGGATTT